GCTGCATAGGGTTTGAGCTACCAGGACTTCTGACTTAGATGCTAGTGTACTGGTTTCAGCTGGGGTGGAGTTAACTTCCTTCACAGTGGCTGGTATGGGGATGTGTTTTGCATTTATGCTGAACACAGGGTTAATAATACAGAGATGTTTTTGTTATTGCTCAGCAGGCCTTACACAGAACCAAGGCCTTTTTTCTGCTTTTTGTACTGCCACACTGATGAAGGAGCTGAGGATGCTTGGGAGGTTGGAAAGAGACATAGCCTGGTCAGGTGACCCAAACTGACCAAAGGAATATTCCAGACATATGACATCATGCTCAGTATATTAAGTGGGGAGAGAAGGAGGAAGAGGGGGTATGTTCGGAGTGATGGCATTTGTCTACCSAAGTTACTGTTATGTATGATGGGGCCCTGTCTTTGTCCCAACCCATGAGTTTCCTAGCTTTTACCTTTCCAATTCTCTCCCTGATCTGGTGGTGGGGCTTATTGGGAGATGAGTGAGTGGCTGTGTGGKGCTTGGTTGCTGGATGGGGTTAAACCATGATAGCTGGGAAGTAACAGCCTGTSTTCTGACAGTCGAGGAGCTGGAGGCACATGTGCCCACAGCCCATCCTTACTGCACTTTCATCTCCTTTTTCCCGCTGCTTGGAAACCATGCGTCCTGAGTGTGGTCTTGATCTCCACTCACAAGGCGGAGGAGTTGGTAAGCACCAGCACCTGTCCCGTGTGCTGTCAGTTCTGACTGTGAGAGACATTCGTGAACTGGACTTTCTCAGGCCAATAAGAATGATTAAAAAGCTGAAAAATTGGCATAGCGGAAGAGTAGAGAAAACATTATATATTTTTATTAGGCTTGATAAAGGTGGAGACTGCATAAGTGCTTAGGTGGGCAGAAATGCTTTCCCAGCAGGCTCTTCAGTTTAGYGGTAAATGGTCCAACAAGACAGTGACTGGAATTTGGAGCTGAGTGCAGTCAGACTAGAAGATTAATACATTGAAGTCTCCAAGCCAGTCCATCTCTCTCCAAAAATTGCAACAATTCAACCCCTACCAGACCACCTTCTGCACAATTCCAGTAGATTTCTCTCCTGCTTCTTTATTAACATTGGCTAAAGTGTTTCTACCATATTCTGTTCATTGCTACTGATTGTCAGCAGGGTTTGAAGCTGGAATTGGTGTCTCCCCAGCMCATACATCATCTCACTGAAACAACGATTGAAATTACTTTATAAATTGTCTCCAGGGCATTCAGGCAGGGGGGGTCAAGACAAGCATGCATTTGGCAGCTAATGGTGAAACTATGGATTATGKGAATGAGCCTGTACCTAGAGTTTCACTGACAGGGTACTTTGTACCTGTCACCACATGCTGGGCAACTGAGARTGTAAGACACATGGGAAAATGTCTTGTTTTCCCTTCTCATCACTGATCATAGCTAGTCTTCTATACTCATTTATTTATTTTGTACTGTCTACTTTGAGTAGATGTTTTTAACAGGGAATTACGACTTTCGTGCCTTATTCATTCATTACTTGCCAGGCTGATGTGACTTTGGAAATATCAAGACAGATGTGGAGCATTTTGGTTATCTTTTCATWGCATCTCTGGTCCTGCAACAATTGAAGACAGATGGAAGTCCCTGAATTTGAGTCTGGTGAATGAAGTCTAATTAGGTTGCAAAGGGAGTAAAAACGGTGTTCCCTCACTACAGTCCTGCATTCAGAGGTTTACGTCCATCTTTGTGTATTCTGCTAGACACTCAGGATGGGGTAAAATCCCTAAGAGGATCCAGGGAAAGTGGGATGTAAACCTTGGCTTTTGGACAGTGGATGTTCTTAGACTGCYGACAGGCTTGGCTGCAAGGCAGTGTTCAGGAGGCTGTGCACAGCCTTGTGCTGTGAAGCAATTGGAACATTTTGTCCGGACTTGACTGCAGAAGTCAAATCTGGATCAGTGGTAATTGAAAGAGGGTATTAGCCAAGACATCCAGGATGAGATGCYGGAGAAGTTGTGGATTYCCCAATCCTGACAGTTTTGAAGGCCAGGTTGGATGGGGCTTTGAGCATCCTGGTCTAGTGGCAGGTGTCCTTGACCATGACAGAGGGATTGGAACTGAGTGATTTTTAAGGTCCCCTCYGGCCCAAATAATTAGGTAATAATAAGGATAAACATTTTTAACTGGTATATTCATTTCCTAGGTAGTTGGTGAGTGGGAACTGTCTGCTTTACTGATCCTGATCCTTAAAAATAATTTGAAAATTGTGCAAGGTACAGGGAGATTGATAGTGACATGTTTGTGTTCGGGCAGCTGAGTTGGATGGCTCAGATGACTGTAGGTTAGCTAGCCTGGAAACCTGTTCTGTGGAAGCGAGCAGAAAAATTGTTATGGAGTTCAAGAGGTAGCTAAGATTGGAAATGTGATGAATGCTAGCAARCATGTCATGGCTTTATGTAAAGGTTTTCTGCTCAAACAAACCTAATTTTGTTTATTTTGAAGATTTTGAGTTCAAAGTAACAGCATGTTTGCAGCCTACTTAGCATTTTGTATTGCACATAGTCTAGATATTTGTGGCATTCTGATTTATGTCTAAAAAATAAAAAGCAAGCACACAAGATTAAAAACCAGCTGACTGTTATCAGAAMGGAATTATGAGTCGGAAGCCACTTGAGTTATAGTTTGAAGGGCTTCCTCCAGGATTAGCGAGGACAGGGTGAGAATCACTGCTTATAAAATGTGTTGTGATTGACACAAATGCTGGTCAGACAGTGAGTAACTATGACAGAACTGTCACAATATGACTGAGACTGCTTAATTCACAGAATATGTTTTAAAGACAAGTCATTTTCACCAAGCCAAAGGCAATTACACGCCTAGGAACAGGCAACACAGAGCACATAGATAAAATGTGAGGCTTAGAAAAGACTCAAAATAGTTATGTTATTAATATAATAGCAAGTCAACTCCATAAAGCCACAGAACTTGTTTTTTAGAGACAAATTGATCTTAACCCAGTTTTAGCCATCTGAACATGAAGCACACACAGACACCATTGCACACCCCCCCCCCNAAAAAAAAACAAAGCCCAGAACAAAAAAACAGCAGAAAATCATTGAATTGTAAAAGAGATGGGACCACTTTTTTTCTGACAGTRTCCATTCCTCCCTTTCTTGGCTGAAATGAGAGATTCTGTTGAGTAACCTTGAAATGGCTTAAGTGAGGTGAGAGAAATTCCAGCTCTTTTATCGGTTACTTTACCTCCATGTATGGTTTTCCTAAAATCAGTACAATAGTATTATTTTGGGTTCTTAGTGTCTGTATTCTTAAAACATGATTTCAAGATTGAACAAGATGCAAGTAAGAAACCCCAAACTGATTTAAGTACAGCATAAATGTCTTGTGATGAGAATGCATGAGCTTTAATTGGTTCATTTATTGAAAAGATGATTGACAGGCACCTTGATTACAAGGTATAAATATTTTCAGAGGTAGAAAACACCAGGTACTGAAAGGCTCTTTAACATAGTATAGMAAGTCATAAGAAGAACCAACTGCTAGAAGCTGAAGCCAAATTCATTTTAGAAATTAAGTGGCAGTATTAGTACCATTTTAGCCACAAATAAATTTCTTCTGTAAAGAAGACAGTACAATTTTTCTGTCTGTGATACATAGAAAGTTAGGCAAATTTGCCAAGTTGTCTCTTTTGACCATTAACCTAGGAATCAACAAAATCGCAAGTGTTTTAATACAATTCTTCTCTGTTTCATTCAAACCTCTCTGAAAAAATACAGYATTCTTACTCCTTTAATTTAGCTTAAATTAAACCAAGAAATTTTAGATTAAATAATTTTAAAATACATGATGTCAACGTAATAGCTCCTGACATTATTCATGGAGAGCAGACTTAGTATTAATGTGCAGATGTAGTAAYATTTCAGTCTATAAGGTGATAGGAAAAACAGAGGTATCTCAGAGTGCCTTGGGTTACTTGGGCATCAATATTTCTAGACATTTCTGTCATCTTCTGTGACATTGCCAGCAGAAGTWTAGTGCCCTTGGAAGAAGGTTTTAATAGTGAGAGCTAATCAAGCCTTTWAAACCCATCCTTTCTTGTAATGCAAGGCTGTTCCAGAGGTGTTTGACYAACAAATATTGCACTGGCTATGCCCAAAAGAGATGGAAAATTGACATGCATTCCTCCAACATCCACACATTATGCTCTAGCACATTGTAGTAGAAATGCAGATGTTTGCCCACCATCACTTCTGTCTGCATTTCTGCATCAAGTTGCTTTTAATTTTTGGGTTTATCTACCCTTTTGGTGTAGGCTGGTACTGCRCTGTTAGTCATCATTGCTTTAGGCAAAAGGTGGTCACGTAGGATAACAAAGTGACTATGTCACAAAGGTGCATGTCTAATATTACCTAAATACTTGTATGTGCTGTCCTAGATTACTAACTGAAAGCTTTTACTTCTTTTCCTTGAGTGTTACAGTATGCTGTATTATTACTTTATTCCTTTAGTGRACTTGTAAAAGAAATTGTAACAACAGAAAAATGTGTTACTCTTYTCCTGAGAAGAAGAATAAAATTAGCTTTTGTTTTGTCTTCCACTAATTTTGGGTACTTTGATTATCAGGATCACTTTGTAGAGCCCTTTTTTTGTAAGCATTGACTGTATTAATTGCCCATTTACAGAAAACATTTCCTAAATATTCTAAGTCTAACATCTAGAGAAAGGAGTTGCCATCTCTTATTTGGAATTTGATCTCTGTGATTCATTCTTAATATGTGAAACATCTAGGGTATACCAGCTGTGCAAACATGTTTTTCCTGCTTATTTCTTAGGTGTCTAAATAGCAGAGATTTTAGAACTTTATTTGAGAACTGAGAATTATGTTATATTTAGTAAATTCTTAATTAGTGAAAAATAATTCAAGAGTTGACCTTGCTGGTGGATCTTATTTTAATGTCCAGTTTTGCTTCATTTTCTTTTCATTCTAGATAAACTTGCCTTGGAAGGAATAGTGGTGCAACGTGCTGAATGCAGACCTGCAGCTAGTGAAAATTATATGAAACTCAAAAGGTAGGAGTGCTTCCTTGCAAATGATGTGTAATATCTGACTTTGATGCTTTGATTATTGCCTTACTAGGGAAGGATGATTTCAGTATTATCATGGTCTTATGTCAGATTTACACAGAATCAGAACTGATCTTGCTTTTGGGGTGGATTTTCTGCAGGGAGGGAATGAGGCTGCTTTGGAAGTTATTTCTYTCTCTGGATTTGTGTGGTGGAATGATGCAGACTTCTGCATCCCATCAAATGCAAAGCTCTTACTAGAGCACAATATACTYTTTCATATCTGAACATATGATTGTATGACTGTACTCATATGTAATTGCAGCTGAATTTCCTGAGTACTTAAGGTATTATATTGGTCTCCTCAGGATTCACTTCTTGAGTATGKGTTTCTGTGGATTGCCAAGTCTAATTCCACTTAGCACTGTGCCGTACTAGGCAAAAAGGGTCTCTGAAAAGACATGTAAAATGTCCAAAATAGGTAASAATATCTGGGGAAGTGCTGGATCTAAACTTGCATGCTTGTTAGAAAAGTTAGTGACTGAAAATACCAGGAATGGCATGGAAACCACAACACACACATTTGACAGAATCATTTAGCGACTTCTGAAMATTTAAGCAAACACGTCTGGAATTTGCCATGTGATTCATATACCTTATGGGTAATTAACTTGATGATGTTCTYTAGTAATCAGATTTGGGATTGAATTGTGCCTTATATTAAATGMATCTTTATATATTTTAAGCATGTGGGTTTTCATTAAATCACCCTTTTGTACTGTGAGTTTATTGTAGAGAAATTCAAAGCAGGAAGTTTCAGGAAGAGAATCATCTGTGTCTGGTTTTAGAATTGTCAAAAGAAAGAGAGAAAATGCAAAGTGATGTTTTTCTCCAGCGCCTGATCTGATTTCTATGTATCATATACTTTTTAAGTATCTTATATTTTATTAACTTCCTCTGTCATCTAAATTGTTCCACTTCTTATTGCGTTCAGTTTTGATATATTATGTTCTAGCTGTTGGCAAATCAGTACCATAAGTTTGTTCCTGTACAGTGAACTACTTCATTTCAGATGGAGTTCTGTAATTGCTATCATGGTTTTTGTCATCAGTGGCAAATGGAGCATGAGGCAAATGTAATGTTAYTGGAAAAAAACTCATTTCAATCTGGCAATTTTAAATATTCAAGAAACGAGAATGTAAGATGTATTTGCTTCATAATTGTTTCCTGATCCAAGTGCTTTTTTGCATTTTGTACATAGTTGATCAGATAAGCTTCTGGTAAGGCCATAGAAGGAGACTGAAGCAGAATTGATAGCATTAATTAAGTACCACCCAAACTTTGAATTTTTCRGTGTTCTACTTTCTGTCACACATTCATGGATGCAGCCCCTCCTGGTCTTCAATTTTGTCATATTCTACTCCTATAGGAGCAACAGAAGTACTAACACAAAGGCAGATTTTATCTCTGAAAACACTGACAAGTGAAAACAATGTTACCTTTGCTTTTTCCTTCCTGTAGAAAAATTGTCAGACTGTGTATTCCTACTTTCTAACTTTACATGTTGTTAAAGATTTTTTGCCTTCTACCAAGAAGTTTAAAAAATAGTCTGATCTGTTGGGAATCAGCATGAGATTTAGCACATCTAACAGTCACTGCCTTAGAAGAAATTGGTTTATGTCCAAATACTGTATCTGGTATTTGAGTGGTAGGATCTAACTTTTCACTCCCTTTATACTCTCCCACCCTCAACATGCTGCAGTCTGTATTTGTGCACAAAAAAAGGTGTCAGCGTTAAAGATAAAACACATTCATTATAGAGCTGTTTTATATTAAACCATTTTGTTAATTTTTCTATTTACTGTTGTGCTTTATATGAGAAACACTCTTCAAAGGAGGAATATGTAATACCAATAAAACAGCAAGTCTATTGTGTAGGCTTTAAGYGCTATAATACTAAGTTGAGTTGGGAAGGAAATAAAATTAAAAGATAAATGCAGTTGCTTCAAACATTTAAGATCTAGAAAATGAAGCTGTGCACTCTCAACAGCTGTAATCACTTTTTTTTCTGAGAGCTGACAGTAACCAAAAGGGATTATATAGTTCCTGGTATTAAATGCTGATACGGATCCTGTGTATTTTGCCATCTGCATCTGGGTCAAGGAGATCGGCTGATGGATGTGTGGTGTGGCATTGATTTCCCTGCTGCTCTGTAGAGTTTCAGTGTGAGGACAAAGCATTTGTCTTGTGATGTGATTGCCAGCAGTTAAGTGGGAGCTAAGTGTGTCATGTGGGTTTAAAGGTGGATGATGAAAATATAGAAATTGGTGACTTGTGTGAGTGAAAGTGTTAACAAATGTAGTAGTCAGGAGGCTTTTTTCCCCAAGGAGCAGCTTTTGATTGGATTACAGAAAGGGTGGAGATGGCTGATGTTCACAAGATATTGAATACAAGGTACAAATATGTGTCTAGGGGTAACTAGTCAGAAAAGTAAAACAGAGGTTTTATGACCTTCACTTGATATTTTCTGTTTTGCAAGTTTTGTTGTTGGCAGATTTACTTATTTTTTTTCAATTTTATGTTCTGAACTTTATGTTCTATAAGAGGAGCAAATACCATGAAACTCCTGCTATCCTGTACTAGTAAAGCTTTGTGCTATTGAATTTCCTACAAAATTTTTATTAGCAGTGTGTTTCTTTTTCGTAGCACCTTAATGATTGGTTGTACATTTCCAGTTACTGAGGCTAGCTGAAAAATAATATGTGGTTTCCAAGCACCTGTCATGATTCCTGTCTTGTGGGAGTGGATCTCATGATCCCATTTAAAAATATTTGGACTGTGGGGGGGAAAAAAGTAGTCAGACCATTCCCAAGTGCAGACAGTTTTACAGTGCAGTGGTCACAGAAAATACTGTGCCTACATTACTCTACGATAGTTCCCTTTGTGCCCCATCGAGCCTGTCAGACAATGGGGACACATGTGAWCGGTTATACAGAGTGTGTGGCACAGACAGTCACATGCATGGCTCATTGTGCAGCACACTCTGTATCTGCACCAGGCTTGTGCCTCCACCATCTATGTCATCCAGGTTGATGTCCCTTCTGTCAGACTGCRTTAGGCAAGCTCCACATCCTCCCTAGCTTGTGTTTTCTTACTCTGGTCAACTTTCCACTATGAAGATGCATTATCTGTGCCTTAATTTTGTCTTTCTGAGGCTTAACAGATTTTAATTTCATGATGCCAGTGTTTTAACCACTTTGGGATTAATGACCCCCACAAAGAGAGAGATCTTCCAAGCAGCTTGTCTGCACTGGGAAACGTAGGGCACAGGAAGAGCAGAGTCCCCCAGACATTCAGGATCCCTTCAGGCTCCAGATGACTTGAGAGGAGATGAAAATAAGATTTTGATACTCCTAAGGGGTGCTATTCACAAAAGAGGGGAAATGGAGGACTGGCATGCAACCCATCTCAGAATCTTCCTGCCAAATTACCTGTTTCCATCCTTGCACTGGTCCTCATGTCTGTTCTCTTCATCACTCTCATCATAACAAACTTTCTTCCCCAATTCTCTGAGTCCCCCGTTCTCATTTCTGCTTCTCCATTTCCTCAAAGAGAAGAAATGTTTTTCAAAAGTATTTGGAACACATCAGTATCTTATGCATTCAAACTACTTCTCATTTTAAGGTAAAGTTAAGAAAAAAATCTCTAAGAGTGACTTCTGAAAAGCTCCAATTCAGACTGACATTGTCAAATTGAGTAGCTACAGAGAAGTCTGCCGGGCTGGTGCGCTGGGGTGGCTGGGCTCGAGGCTCACAGTTCTCAGGGGAGGTTTTGAATGCACATGTGAAGTACAGCTTAAGCAGCTGATGAATTGTGTGAAGTGTTTGGTAGCACTTCTACAACAGTGGGAAATGGCAGGCAAAAAAAAAGACAAATTCAGAGCCCCTGTTTCATTCTCAAATGTGATGCTGAAATGCTGGTCACCTTTCAAAATGGATTTTGGAAGACTTAACTTCAACTATACCTGATCTGAATTACTGAAGTCTCACAAACAGTACATCAAGTGAATAAAAAAAAAGGAGTCCCAGGATTACCAAAAACCTAGAAGAGCCAACTTTTACCACTCCAGCAAGGCTGGTAATCCCTATAGTTCCCTTAATTTAAAAATACATTGTAAGATATCTTTAGTAAAAATGGTGATTGTCAGTATGACAGYTTGTAACAATCCTGCAAGAATTTTGCTTTTTCTTGTAAAAGTTTTCTACAGAGAGTATATGAAAGTCCTTAGAAAAAGCTGCTGGACRAAACATGCATAATGGGCTTTTAAGAGTAATGGGTTATAAAACACTCTAGAATAATTAATGAACTTCCGTGTTTGGAAAGTCACATTTCTTTACAACCATATTATGGAGACCTCCAGAAGTCCTGAAGCTTGGTGTTCTAGGTCAAACAAGTGAAATTAAATTAGTGCAGATGAGTTGCTCACCTTTTCAAAAGTACAGAGGGAATATTGACTGACAGTTCAGTATATTGCTGGAAATGAGCACTATGCCTGGGGTTTGGGGTTTTTTTTGRTGGGGGTTGTTTTATTTTGTTTTTCTTTTTGGYCTTTTCTCCCCACAAATACCCCATACTAGCAGAAGAAAAGGAGTATTTTGACCACCATGCCACTTCATATATATTCTCATAGATATGCTTAGTTGGCTGTAAATTCCTTTGCAAAATATTCATACATTTGTGCATTTTCCACAAAAGCTGACATGCTGCACAAATACTTCTCAGTTTGTTTGAGGTGGGAAGCCATTTTTATGCTGAGCTGAGATTGCTTCTGCCTGTCAGTCAATGCGACCTTGATTTTTCAAGTATTGAAGATCAGTTTCTCTGGCTTGAAGTAAGATTCACCATAGTAAAAAAACACATTCCCAGGATATTTTGAGTTACTCGTCACGTGATTTTTTTTAATGTGCTAAAAGATTTCCAGTCACAGATTTTCCTGCAATTTGTAG